GGCGTCTGCGGCTCCCGGGAGGGCCGGAGACCCAGACCCCCGGGGTCCCCCTGCAGCGAGGCGGGGGTGTGAGGCCACTCTCGGGGAGAGAAACAGCCAACGGGCAGGTGGGGGCGGGGTGGCGGTGCAGCAGGGGCGGGTCTCCGAGGCCCTCTCCCCGCAGGGGGCCCTGGGGTGGCGGGCAGGGCCGCCAGCGCAGGTGGCAGCGGCCAGTCCCCAGAGCACTGCTTTAGGCCAGCACGCAGGCCTCTGGCCGCGACCTCTGCTGTGAGGCCAGGACAGCGGCCGAGGATGCAACACCCCAGCACGGCAGTGGCCACCTCAGGCCCGGGTCGCCAGTATCCCGGTGGTGGACAGGGACGGGAACAGTGGGCAGGCTGGGGCCAGCTGTTGACCCTGGACGCTGAGAGGCCAGGGAGCCCCTGCCGGACCCACAAGTCCAGCCCGCCGCGGCCGGGCCCACCGCCCACTGGTCTCCGAGCTGTGCCTGAGCCCTGTGCGACGGGACCTCCTCGGACTATGCTCCAGGCGGCCCCACCACCTCCGGCCAGTCTCAGAGCCCCAGGAGGGCTCAGAGCAGAGGCGTCCACCACCCACAGAGGGCACCACTGCCCGCCGCCTGGCTCAGGCTGAGGGACACCCAACCTCACGGAGCCCCCCTGGACACCGCCGGACCCCCCAGGACGCCTGAGAGCGTCTAGGCTGAGAGCAGGACTGGTGGGCGCGGCCAGGCTGCGTGGGCCGGAGTGGAGGACGCTGTGGACAGGTATCTGGGCGCTGGGGCCTCAGCCCCTGTCCCCTGCAGCCCCCTCGTCTGAGAGGATTGAGGGACTCTGGGTCACAGGCCCACGCCCCCCACTGCCCCCAAGGAAGCCCCAGAGGCCAGGCCCGGGCGTGGGCGGAGCGCAGGCTTCTAGCCTGGGCCTGCCCAAGCCGTAAGGACCCGCGCGGACTGCCCTCCCCTCCTGTTCCCGGCGGGGGCGACTGGGGGGCCCTGCAGCGCAGGCAGGCGAGGGGGGAGGCCCAGACTGCCCGCGGCTGCCAGCAGGTCCCAGCGCCGCCCGTCAGTGGGGGGCGGGAAGCCCACATCAAGCGGCACGGGGGGAGGGGTGGCCAGGCTGGGGGCGGGGCCTCCCGTCCTTCTGGGTGCCCCTCCGCCCGCAGGGCTGCTCCCAGCTCCCCTCGCCCCCAGGCCTGAACCCCAGCTCCTGGGCCTCGAGTCTGCCGCCGCTCCTGCCTCCTGCAGCCGGTTAACGGCCGCTCCTCCCCTGCCCCCGCCCCATCCTTCCGGTCTGAGCCATCCCGGGACTGGGCTCTGACCCAGCCTCAGTCACCTGTGGACATCCCCATGTGGCTGCGCGACGCCCCTTCCCGCACCCTCAGGGTCCCCGCATCTGCCACACCCGCTTACCACAAGTTGCTGACCCCACGGGCGGACCCTTCCTCTGGGGGGACCACCCTGCAGGCCCCGGACTCTGCCCCACCGCCCAGCGGCCCTCCCGCGAGGACCCCCGTCCCCGGCCTGCCCCTGGGCCGGCTGTTCCCTCCTCAGCTTTCTGTTTTCAGACAGGGGCCCGCTGCCCTTCGGGCCGCGCCCGCGTCCAGGAGCCCAGCAGGGGCCGGGCGGCCTCCTCCCCCCGCTTCTGGGGGCCCCCTGGACACTCGGCACGAGGCGCTGAGCCGCGCGGGGGCCGGAGAGGAGGGCAGCAGGGGGGTGGGCCGGCGGCGCCGGCCGCGAGGGCTCCTCACCAGGAAGGACTGGAAGAGCCGGAAGGCGCCCAGCAGCCAGATGTACAGGTGGGAGTGCAGCCGCGTGGACGTGCCGTTGAAGGCGTTGGCCACGGCCAGGAAGGAGTAGGGCCCCACGGTGAAGAACTCGCAGTCGTAGGCGCCCGAGGTGGGGATGGTCTGGTTGGCCTCGAAGAGCCGCGCGCGGGGGTTCCACCTGTAGATGACGCTGTCGATGTTGTGGTTGTCGCCTGCAACAGCAAGGCCGGGTCTGCGCTTGCCGGCGCCGCCTGCCCGCCCGAGGGCCCCGTCCTGTGTCCCCGCCCCGCCGGGGTGCGGAGGCCCCGCCCCCCGCCCTCCCGCGAGCGCCCGGTCCTGGGTCTCCGCCCCGCCGGGCAGCGAGGGCAGCGGCGCCGGCCAGGCCTCCCAGACCCCCGCCCCGGGCTGTACAGCGGGCTCTGTCCAGAACGGGCAGTCCGGGTCCGGGGGCCACTGCATCCCTCCAGCGACTGCCCAGCCTGTCCACCCACCTCTGAACACTGGGCTGTGGCCAGCTGCTCAGCCACGCCTCCCAGCCAGGGGAGGCCCGTGAGCGGCTGGTCAGCGTGCACGCGGGGGAGGCTGCCCGAGCCGAGGGTCAGGCCTGCCCAGCGCCCCGCTCCCTGCTGGGGCCGGCCAGGGAGGGCGGGGTCGGCTCCAGCCTCTGGGGGCTGGGGGGCCCGCGGGGCGCCGGCCTGGCCTACCTTCCCGGTGGTTGGCCACGGCCAGGAAGTGCTCGCCGGCCACCTGGAAGGCCTCCCAGTCGCGGGCGCTGTGGGTGGCCACCCGCTGGTAGGGCGCGAAGCGCAGCGCTCGTGGACTCCACTTGTAGATGACGGAGAACTCCTGGCCCCGCTCTCCGGGCTCCAGGCTGGCCACGGCCAGGAACACCTGCGGGGCCGCACGGCTTGGTCGGGGCAGCCAGGGCTGCCGGCGGGTGGGGACGCAGGCCACGGGCAGCCGCCCCAGGCCCTGCCACGCTGACCTCCTCCAGGCGCCCCCCAGAGCCCCCCAGCGTCCAGCCACAGCCCAGGTGTTCCCTGCTCACTGGGCGCCAGACCCGGGCCCGTCCGTCTGGGGCGCCTCGAGGCCAGGGCTCACCCCTGGACAGTGACTGGACAGCACCACGCACAGCCCCGGGGGCACCCAGCCCACGGGAGCCTCAACTCCGCGGGAGCCTCAACCCCACGGGAGCCCCACCCCCAGGAGCCCCACCCCTCAGGAGCCCCACCTCCGCGGGAGCCCCACCCCC